CTGCTCAGCCAACGGCCCCCCCCTCGCCTCTCAGTCAACGGCCCAAGCGGCCGTTACGACGGTCGGATTATCTAGGCTTTGTTTACAGAGCCTAGAGTTTTTGTTAGAGCTGTTATCCAGGTATTGTTATTACCGATTATTCGATAATCGTTTCGTTATTATCCACTCACAAATATTATCACACGATTGTCGAACAGATATTATTATTACTACCATTTAATATTCGAGTATATTATTACTTCTTTATTCAGATCTTATTTAATTTATTCGATTATTATTTAATTATTGCTATTACGCGTAGAAAAGCAACTCGGACGTGCCGTTACAACAATTTCTTTACCTCGTCTTTAATCAGTTATTATCGCCGTTGCCCAATTATTGTTATTTATTGTTATTACCGATTATTTGATCATCATTATTCCGTTATTATCTACTCGTGGATATGAGCGGTCCACTCATCAGTGGTTAGACAAGAAAAGAGCGATTGGACGTCTGTCTTTTTCTAACTTACTATCATTGTACGGAAGTACCACGGGCACGAACTAGACGTGTTTTATCGTTACCACCGCGAAAATGCGCTTAACGAACGTAAAGGCGCACTTTGTTAGATGGCGTCTCGAAAATACGTCTAGCTCTGGCCATTGAAGTCAGGCTGATGGCCTCTCTCATGCTTCTCTCTGGCCAGACTTTTGCGTTCCCACTTAGCACGTCACGCGCTTATTGCGTAACATTACGCCGAATAAAATGAGACGATTTGATTGGCTTAACTCGGACGACGCGTGACGCGCTAAGTGAGAACGTACCCTTATGGCTCCTGCACACAGGACGCGGTAATGTTTACCACGCGGCGGAAGTTCTCAGCTCCGAGGTACTGTCTCAGCTCCGAGGTAGTGCAGTCCATGCGCTCTCATGCGTTCGAGAACTAACCTAACCTAGGTTCGAGAACCTTATCCGAGTGCTCTCCCTCTCATTTTATCTTACTCTCGTATACCTATCACTCTAACGCTGCGTCACTCTAATGCGCATTATGCGTGAAAACGGAACGCATCCTTTGTAACTGGACTGCTGAACTAGAAGTTCCGACCTAACCGCCATTACGACCAGACGTGTCCGAACACGTACTTCGATATCTTGGTAGAAAGGACTATTTGAGAAAGTCTGCAAGCCAAGTAAAATATAGTGAAGAAAAACTGCTGAACTAGTGCAATACATTGCAACAATTATTTCTTTGAAACAATTGCAGTGTAGATAATTAAAATTTTCGGCAAAATGGATCCAGCTTTACTTAGAGAGCGAGAACTGTTCAAGAAACGTGCCCTGTCTACGCCAGCGTGAGTATTTGCGTTGATATCTTCAAGTTAAATATAAATGGAGGTTATAATATATACATACAGCCTACTTTTATAAAACATACTGTGTATAAATATCACAAAAATGATCAAAATAAAATAATGCCAAGTTTGATTAAAATCAAGGAAATTATTAATGGAAAGATTTATAAGGCTTATTTAACTCTTTATATTGCTTACATTGGTTACTTTCCAACAAGAGACACAAGTCGATACAAGTATTATCCTATCTTTGTTACTCACTAAATGTGGAACAAAGGTTGCTTTCCAACAAGAGACACAAGCAACACAAACATCATTCTATCTTTGTTCCACATTTAGTGAGTAACAAAGATAGGTTGATACTTGTGTTGACTTGCGTCTCTTGTTGAAAAGCAACCAATAATAGAATGATGTTTGTATCGACTTGTGTCTCTTGTTGGAAAACAACCATTATTATGGTTGAGTAATATATTAGCCTAGTTTACATTGTGCACTTGATACGCGTACTAAATAGTAACTTTCTATTAGGTAATTTTAATATTGAAAATGTGTATCAACGGCGACGCATTCAATCAGTACAATACGTTTTCTTGATGAATATTATACCAGCTTAATATACCATTGTTTATATATATCGTCGATATTAATATTAATAGAAAATTACTATTTAGTTCGCATATCAAGTGCACGATGTAAACTATTATTAGATCATTTATATATTATTGTGGTTTATAATGGCTAGATAATATAAGTATGCTTTACTATTCATGACTACAGAGTTGAAAAGAAGAAAAAGGAACAAGAAACATCGAGGGATGATTCATCTAAGAAAAAACCCAAACCATCGTCCATATCTACAGGGACAAAATTGGACATGGTCAACTATAAGACCATGGCTGGTAGCACACAATATAAATTTGGTGTATTAGCAAAGATAGTAAAACATATGAAAGCGAGGCATCAGGATGGAGATGATCATGCTTTAACTCTGGAGGAAATTTTAGACGAAACAAATCAGTTAGATGTTGGATTAAAAGTAAGTATCATTTGCCTGTTAAGTTTTTATCAATTAAGGCAAGTTATTTAATTCTCTTTATATATTTTTAGGTTAAACAATGGCTTCAGACCGAAGCTTTGATAAAGAATCCTAAGATTGAGGTAACCTCTGATGGCAGATTTGTCTTTAAAGCTATGTATAAAATAAAAGATAAGAAATCCTTGCTGAGACTTCTAAAACAGCATGATCTAAAAGGTCTTGGGGGTATTTTGTTGGAAGATATACAGGAAAGCTTACCGCACTGTGAGAAACACTTAAAAGTAAATAAAAGAATTCTCTAGAATTTTAACTTTGGTAATAATTTATGTGAGAAATGCTAATGTTAATTATACATTTCAGAATCTACAAAATGAAATATTATTTATTACACGGCCACTTGATAAGAAAAAGATAGTTTTTTACAATGACAAGACAGCACAATTCCCTGTAGACGAGGAGTTCCAAAAGTTATGGAGAGCTGTTGCAGTAGATGCTATGGATGATCAAAAAATAGATGAGTATCTGGAGAAACAAGGAATCAGATCTATGCAAGATCACGGACTGAAGAAACCAGCACCGCTCAAAAGGAAGAAACCTGTCAATAGGCGGAAACAATTTAAGAAACCTAGAGACAATGAACATTTGGCTGATGTTTTAGAAACATATGATAATTAAGTAAGATATTAAAATAGTAAGCCATATTAATGATATTAGGGAGAATATGTAAATACAGTCATGATTCATTTAGTACTATATCGTGGAATAATTAGCTGATAACTTATTCCTTTCTAATTTGATAAATAAGTAAAATTTGTTGGCATAATTTATTGTCATGATATCTCATTGTAAGTACAAAATAAATATAGAATAATTATAGTATGTTATAACACTTAGGCGTAAACTATTCGTATATAACTCACGCTCACAATCAGCCTTTTGGATTGAAAAGATTGCACAACGCTTGTTTTTTCTGGTAATGTGATAAACGTGGGACAGTTAGAATCAGAGTTGGCCATTTTGTATTATACTTCTTTCTGAATTTGTATATATCTCAGAATCTTAACTTTAATTAAAATTTATATAATCCGCGTATTGTGAAAAGATTATACTATAAAAATTTGTACATTTTATACTAATTGATATAAATCTCATTACTGTACAAATTTATATTTTCTTTGGTATTTGTAGCTTCGTATCTTTCTTCATATTTTTCTTAATTAGACAGATATAAATTGTCCTGGATGGTGTGAATCATACGAATTATAATTATCCAAATTGTCCTAATCATTTTCTTAAAGATGCAGTATTATCGTTCTCTTATTAAGATGCACTTTCTTTTATGATATTCGAGCGGACGGCGACGTCTATTCCTTCGGCAGAGCAGAGTCGCTTTTCCCTCGCGAATAAGCACGCGTCTTGTTGCTGCCGAGCATTCTGTCCAACAAAGACTGTTTGTTCCTTCTTCTGGCTGCGAGAACTTCTCTGCATAATTCGTGGAAGGATTCCGCGACCTGAGCAACCTGCAACAATCGAAGTTGTTTAGAAACGGCTAGCGATTCGCCGTGTAATTGAACGGAATTTCAATTACCTGCTCGGCAGCGGTTATTTCGCTGAACCAACATTCGAAATCCTTAGCCAAGATCTCTCCTTCTTCGGCACTGACTTGCCGTAAATGGACCATATCAGCTTTATTTCCAACAAGAGCAAGAGGCATTGCGGCTTCAGGATCGGCTACCGCGAGGGCTTCCTTCGCTTTCCTCACGAAATTAAAGGATCCCCTGTCTGTTATCGAATAAACCAACAGCAAGCCGTCCGCCCATTGCAAAGTTTCCATCGATGGTAATTCATCCCCGCTCTAAAAATTGTTCAAAACGTTATACACATATGACCAATTGATACCAATTTGATACGATAGATCTTTCGTTTGAGATTTTACCTTTGGGCACGTATCTAAAATCTCGAAAAGAATAGGTTCTCCGTCAACTAGTACCTCATGCTTGTATCTAGTTTCTGAAAGATAAAAAGAGATTTTCTCCATTAATGTAAATGTAATGACAATTATTCGTGAAATATATATAAAGGTCCTTACTTTTAATCCTCTTTTATCGATAAAAATGTCTCTGTAAAAGTGGTTTATAAGTTTTGCAATTGGCTATGAGTCACTTTTAGAGACATTTTTGTCGGTAAAAGAAGAGAATTGAAAATAAAGATTAAAAAAAAATATTTAATCTGGTCTCCGCGGGGTGTAAAACATTTTAATTTGATTTGAAATAAGTCGCTAATCAAGAAGACAAATCGCAATATATATGCAGTTTTATGTGAAGAAAATAATTCGATGAAAACTTCCAGTGTTGCGTTTTTCGCTATTTACAAATTCATTTCGAATAGTTTTTTTTAGAATGAAACTTAACGGGAGAACTAAATTCGCGTGTCATTATAAAGGCTGTAAGACTCAGTATGTCATATTTTCAGTGACGCAAGGAGAGACTACTTATAAACTTACTATTTATCGAACAAAATTACATTTCTATACATTTATTTCATTATCCAAATAAAATGTTAATTTGAGATAAAGTTATATACAGGGTGTTCCCAAAAGGTGGTACCAAATTTTAGGGGTATGTAGTACTCGTTAAAACAAACCAAAAACTCTTAATGAACAGTATTCCGAAAACCTTTTATTTCTGAGTTATGAAGCATTTTGTTCTGTGAAAAATAGAAAATAACTAAAATTTACTGTCCGGTCCACGTAAGCGTTGATGAATTTTGCTAAATATTCTTCTACTTGGCTGTCAGCGATTCGGATAAGCTGCATGATACAAGCGTGCTGCTTTTGAAGCATTGCCCTTTGCTCTGCCATACATAAAATGAATATCCGTCATTTCAGAATTTGTATAAAAATTAGCCATTTTTTAGATAACACAAAACTAGACACGGTCCACAATCCAAAGTTGAATACAACAATCCCTGCGTAATTAGGTGGTCACATACGGGCGTCCGTGAATGAACTGACTAAGAGATTTGGAAACTGTTGTCAACAAATACGAAATAAACCTGGACTCTTTGACCT